TGGCACGCGTGCCAAACATGGCATGCCAATAACTTTTTTTTTTTAGATATATTTTATTGATTTTTTACAGAGAGGAAGGGAGAGGGATAGAGAGTTAGAAACATCGGTGAGAGAGAAACATCGATCAGCTGCCTCCTGCACACCCCCTACTGGGGATGTGCCTGCAACCAAGGTACATGCCCTTGACCAGAATCGAACCTGGGACCTTTCAGTCCACAGGCAGATGCTCTATCCACTGAGCCAAACCTGTTAGGGCTATGCCAGTAACTTTTGCTGGCACGCAAAACCCTCTCTTATAATCTTCCATTTACAATTTTTGTGAATATTTGAATGACTTAAATGTTAAATTACAAGCAACTGGCAAGACACTTGATGTTATGTTTGGTTACATAAAGGCTTTCGAAAAGAAACTGGAAGTCTTTAAGAGGGATGTGGATGGTGAGAGATTTAGATATTTCCCAAACCTCAAGAGGCACATCAAAGACCTCCCAAAAGATGACAGAACAGATTGTCAAAGCCTTCAAAAGCTGTTTTTAAATATCATCGAGTCAACTATTGAGCAGTTCTTCTCAAGATTTTCAAAATTCAGAGAACTGGAAGAGACAGCAAAATTCATGAGGTTTCCAGACAGCATGAAACTGGAGGAACTAAACTTACAAATGTTTTCATGGATAGACATGGCTGACTTTGAAATGCAGTTGACTGAATTTCAGAGTAGCTCAATTTGGAAGCAGAAATTTATTGACCTTAGAGTTGACTTGGAAAACATTGAAAAAAAAAAACGATTAGAGACAGGAGTACCAGAGAGAAGTGTCGAAAACGAACTATTGAGGACTGGAATGCCATTCCAGAAAATTTTTTCTGTTTAAAAAACTTTGCAACAGCATTATTCTCCATGTTTTCATCCAGATACGCTTGTGAACCTTTGTTCTCAGTGATGAATTTTGTTAAGTCTCGTAATAGGAGTAGCCTGACGGATGAAAGTAGTAGCTCGTGCATATCTCTGAAGGTCACGAAATATAAACCTGATGTAAAATCTCTGTCATCAGTGATGCAGCAGCAAAAGTCCCACTGATAATATCAAACGGAGTCATAAAGTTTTCTGTCGGACTATCAGTGTACATGTGTACATTAAAAAATAAATGTATTTTTCATCATCATATACTGTATTTTTATTGCTCGAATGAATTTTATTATTTCTTCAAGGTTCTTCACATACATACACCTTAAGAGATATCAAGTAGGCATAACATGTTCTCAAAAATTAGGATTAGCATGCAGAAGAATTTTGAGTCAGAGATTTTGCTGGTTTTGGCACACACTCACAAAAAGGTTGCCCACCCCTGGCCTAGGCATACCTACCAACTTTACCATGGTAACAAAGAAACAGCACACATCACTTTTGTAATGTGGCATCCTTCAGATACTTGGTGGCTTTTCAGATATGGATACCTTTGATGGCCTGGGCAGTTTCCTGAGTGTCCTTAAAGTGAACACGAAGATTTGCATCTCTTGATTTGCGTGATTTTGTGGGGTGTTCTGGGTCAAGTGAATAGTGAACCATTTTCCTGGGTCACCTCTGGCTACTTTCTGGAAGAGCTGAAAGATTCTTATCATGGCATTTATGACTCTTCATAATCTAGCCTCAGCTTTTCCAACTGCTCTCCTTATCACCCCAGCATGAGACTCAGGCAATATTATGTTTCTGTGGCTCCTCAAACATTCCATTCTGTTTCATAATCCAGTGCTTTAGCCTAAACTGTTCCCTATACCTTAAATGTCTTTTCCCCTTTGTTCATCAAATAACCTTTTATCACTTCCTAATTATTATGCATGGAAATGTTAAGAATTACTTGTTCATTAGCAACGAGGCAGGCAAATCATGTGAATGATGGTGAGTTTATTAGATGGATAGTCCATCTGTAAAAGTGAAATAATGCAAGAGATGACAGGTAAGAAACTATTTGCTTCAGCTCTCACGATCTGAACATAATCCAGAAACTTTCATTATTACCAGAAATTTTCCTCTCATTATTACCAAAATGCAAAAAGTATTGACAGAGGAGGATTTAGCTGAAGGAAATTTATCCTCTACCCATTTGCTCCTAGGCTTAAAAGGAATAGAATCCTCGCCCTGCCGGTGTTCCTCAGTGGTTGAGCGTCAACCTATGAATCAGGAGGTTGCAGTTAGATTCCGGTCAGAGCACATGCCTGGGACTGCAGGCTCTATCCTAGGGGTGGGCAAACTTTTTGACTTGAGGGCCACAATGGGTTCTTAAACTGGACCGGAGGGCTGGAACAAAAGCATGGATGGAGTGTTTGTGTGAACTAATATAAATTCAAAGTAAACATCATTACATAAAAGGGTGCGGTCTTTTTTTTTTTTTTTTAGTTTTATTCATTTCAAACGGGCAGTAGTTTGCCCACGGCTGCTCTATCCCCAGTAGGGGGTATGCAGAAGGCAGCCAATCGATGATTCTCTCTCATCATTGATGTTTGTATCTCTCTCTCCCTCTCCCTTCCTCTCTGAAATCAATAAAAAAATTTTTTTTTTAAAAGAATAGAAACCTCTCTTCTCACATATTAAGCCAGATGAAAAGGCTGTGCCAGGCTGACCCCTGCTGGAGCCAAGAAACCACTCTACTCCAAGAATGTGGGTACAAAATTTTCTCCCTTTATGCTACTCATTCATTATTTATTCACTCAAAAACAGTGAACACTCATCTGTACTGCTGGGAATACTGAGGCCCTGGGGCACAGAGAACAAAGGACTTAATTCCTATTCTTAAGAATACACAATCTAATGCATGAGCTAGGTAGCTGCCTCTTTAAATGTTCTCTCGACAGCATCGAGGAGAAAGGGAGACGAGTTAGAAGGCCAATGCAGAACTCCAGGGATTCAATGACAGTCAGTCATGTGAGAGGGGGACAAAGGTCTCGGACTTCCAGGTTTCTAACCTGGGAAACTGGCTGGTCATGGGTGGTAGTTCCCGGAGTCAGGGAATCTAGGAAGTTTATGTAGGAAGACAAAATAAGCGTTAGACATGTTAAAATTGAGGTGATGCCCTGGCTGGTGTAGCTCAGTTGGTTGGAGCATTGTCCGGTATACCAGAAGGATGCAGGTTTGATTCTGGGTCAGGACACATACGTAGGTTGTGGTTTTGATCACCAGGCTGGGTAGGTATGGAAAGGCAGTAAATTGTTCTCTCTCACCTCAATGTTTTCCTCTCTCTCTCTCTCTCCCTTCCTCACTCTCTAAAATCAATATGCGCCGAAACCCGTTTGGCTCAGTGGATAGAGCGTCGGCCTGCAGACTGAAAGGTCCCAGGTTCGATTCCGGTCAAGGGCATGTACCTGGGTTGCGGGCACATCCCCAGTAGGGGGTGTGCAGGAGGCAGCTGATCGATGTTTCTCTCTCATCGATGTTTCTAACTCTCTATCTCTCTCCCTTCCTCTCTGTAAGAAATCAATAAAATATATTTTAAAAAAAGAAAGAAAAATTCAGCAATGATCTACAAATATTAAAAAAAAATAAAATCAATATGCATAATGATAAAATCAATTAAGATTGGGGGGGAAAAGATTGAGGTGACTGGGGGACATCCAGGTAGAAATGTCCAATAGGCTGTTGGGTATATAGATCTGGCTGGACTCAGGAAAGAAGTATAGGGCAGAGTTTTTGACAGCCTTCCAATAGTTGACAGGGGGCTCCACCAGAATAGATGATACTCAAGGGTATGTATGTTGGGGAAGATTAGCTGAGATCTTCAGCAGGCTGGGGTTCCTTCACTTGCTTAACTGCTTTTGCTTTAAAGCTATAGCTACGACTTCTGGGAAGTCTCTCCCCAACACTCCCTCATATACAAGGAACCAGATGCTTCTCCTTTGCTTACTGAGCATCCTATAATCACTTCAATCATGGCACTTAGTGCATTCTATTGCCCCTGCCAATATTCTCATCTATCCACTAGACCAGTGGTTCTCAACCTTCCTAATGCCGCGACCCTTTCATACAGTTCCTCATGTTGTGGTGACCCCCAATTTCATTGTTACAAATTGAACATGATTAAAGCATAGTGATTCATCCCAAAAGCAATATGTAATTATATGTTTTCCGATGGTCTTAGGCGACCCTGTGAAAGGGTCGTTTGACCCCCAAAGGGGTCGCGACCCACAGGTTGAGAACCGCTGCTCTAGACTGTAGACCAAGCATGGCTAACATGCTCAGGCTAACACGGGCCAAATAAACGAGGCATGCAGCCCACAGGCCGTGAGTTTGACAGGCTTTCTGTAGACCTTTGAAAGAGGGATGTGTTTTGTGAGGAAAAAAAATGAATGCAGGCAGCAGTAATATCATATGGTCATAATACCCTTATGACCATGGCGTTTGCAAGGGAGTTCGATGCAGGCACATTACAAGATTTAAGTAGGGGAGTGGTACGATCAAATTTGTGAATTAGAAATATCACTCTGGCCCTGGCTGGTTTGGCTCAGTGGATAGAGAGCATCGGCCTGAAGGGTCCCGGGTTCGATTTTGGTCAGGGGCACATGCCTGGGTTGAGGGCTCAATCCCCAGTAGGGGTCGTGCAGGAGGCAGCCAATCAATGATTCTCTGTCATCACTGATGTTTCTCTCTCTCTCTCCTCCCTTTCTCTTTCTGAAATCAATAAAACATTGAAAAAATACCACTCTGACTGCAGTGTGGACACTGCATTAAAGCAGAGGAAAGCCCCACACTGGCTGGTGTGACTCGGCGGGCCTCCACAATTCCCCATCAAGGGCACGGGCCTGGGGTGCCGGCCGAGAGGCAACCAATCCATGTGTTTCTCTCTCCCTCTCCCCTCCCTGCTTCCCTTCCACTCTCTAAAAAACTCAATGGAAAAAGTATCCTCGGGGGCGGAGGATGAGCAAAAACAAACAAAATAGTGGTTTCTGGTTAAGTTGGGAAAAAATATTGAGTCAAACCCTCCATTCCCAACTCTGAAAATACAAAACCAACATTTGCAGCATTTATGTGTTTAATATTAATTAAAACAACTGCGGCGTCCCCACGGGCTGCCTGTCAGGCCGTCTTCTAAGCTGCTCTCACTTCCTTTGTCCGCAGGTCTGTTAGCCAGGTGCGTTGCTGTTGTTGCACAGCACAGTGAGGTTTAATGCCGCCCCTTTGGGGGGAGGTTAAACCACCCACTTTGGGGGAGACTCCAACATCGGTCTGGCCTGTTGGCTCGGAAAGGCGTTGGTCCCAGCTCTCGGTGGTTTAGGTACCAAAGGGCGCATAAGGTTGGCCCAACTGCTCTGGGCTGAGCAGGAGGGGCGCGGGGAGGCGGGATGGGGGAGGCGGGCAGGGCGGGGTGGGCGCGGGTCCGGGCGGAGGCGGGGCAGCCGCGGCTCAGGCCGGGTCCAGGCTGCTGCGGTGGCCCTCGTCCGCCCAGTCCACCAGCTCGCTGCTCCGGAACCACAGCTGGATCTCCCTCCGGGCCCCCTCCACCGAGTCGCTGGCGTGGACGACGTTCCTTCTGATGTGGAGGCTGAAGTCTCCTCGGATGGTGCCGGGGGCAGCCTCGGCCGCGTCGGTGAGCCCGACCATGGCCCTGGAGGCGCGGACCACGCTGGGGCCTTCCCAGACCATGGCCACCACGGGGCCCGAGCGCATGTGGCTGAGGAGGGCCGCGTAGAAGGGCTCCTCGCGATGGCGCTCGTAGTGCTGGGCCAGCACGCTCTCCGGCGCCTGGAGCAGCTTCATCCCCACCAGCCGGAAGCCCCGCCTCTCAAAGCGCCGGATCACCTCGCCCACCAGCCGTCGCCGCACCCCGTCTGGCTTCACCGTCACCAGGGTCCGCTCCCGGGCCCAGGAGGGCTCCCCGGAGCTGGGGCGCACGAGCAGGCCGGGGCCCCGGGCCCGCGGGCCGCACAACAGCTCCCTCAGCGCGGCGCGCCCGAAGAGGCCGCTCATGGCGCCCGGGCCGTGGGCCAGCGCTGGCTCTGTCGGTTGGATATTTTTATTAAAAAAGTGAGAACACTAGAGCTCGGAGAAGTGATTTGTCTAAAGCCATACAGCGGAGCCGGGTTCGAGTCCAGTTACTGTTTAATGTTACAATCACTTGTAACCATCTTGCTATATCATCTCGTCCTATTCAGTTAAAACGTGAGCAGCACGCCTTCCCACAGAAAAAACCAATACGCTGTATCCACCGCCGCTGGCTCACTAAAATGGCGGCTCCATCCGGGGCGCTGGCTCTCTTACGTCATCACCCTGCGCGACAGCTTCTCGCGCCCCGAGTGCGAGCGGAAGCAGGCGGGCCGAGGGAGGGGCCCAGGTCGGGAGTTGTACCTTGTTCTTCCGGGGCGCAAGATGGCGCTGCCCTTTGCACGTTCGCCTTGCCTCTGCCGCTGGGGAGCCAAACGATTGGGGGCTGCTGCCGCAGAAGCCCGCAGAGGTAGGGTTACCTCCTTTTACTCTCTTTTACCTCAAAACGGTTTCCGTCTCTTACTCCCAGAGCTTGTCCACGCCCCACCTGCGTTGGTGTTGCGATTCCAAACCTAGGACACTGTCTGGGTTCTTTAAAACCTAGGGCTTTGCCAGCCCGAGCTTTTTGGCTCGGGGGCTGCCTATGTAAAGCACCCCGCTCCCTGGCCCGCTCGCATGCTGACTTCCCTGCCTCTCCGTGACCTCATGCCGGCCTGCTTCAGAGCGTCCCCGTGTCTCTAGCTCTAGTTCCAGGGTGGGAGCCCCTGCCATCACCCAGTATCTTTGCTCTGCCCGCAGGCGTCAGTTTCAAACTGGAAGAGAAAACCGCCCACAGCAGCCTGGCACTCTTCAAAGGTGGCACAGGTGTCAAATACGGCATGGTGGGGTTGGAGCCCACCCAGCTGGCCCTGAACGTGGAGCGCTTCCGGGAGTGGGCGGTGGTGCTGGCAGACACCGCGGTCACCGGTGGCAGGCACTACTGGGAGGTGACGGTGAAGCGCTCCCAGCAGTTCCGGGTCGGGGTGGCCGATGTGGACATTTCTCGGGACAGCTGCATCGGAGTGGATGTCCGTTCCTGGGTGTTCGCCTATGCCCAGCGCAAGTGGCACACCATGTTGGCCAACGAGAAAGCCCCTATTGAGGGCATCGGGCATCCAGAGAAGGTGGGGCTGCTGCTGGAGTATGAGGCCCAGAAGCTGAGCTTGGTGGATGTGAGCCGGGTGGCTGTGGTCCACACGCTGCGGACAGATTTCCAGGGCCCAGTGGCACCTGCCTTTGCCCTTTGGGATGGAGAATTGCTGACCCATTCAGGGCTTGAGGTGCCCCAGGGCCTCTAGGACATCCACCACTGGAGTTCCCGATCACACGCTTGGCCAGCGTCCTCCTGAGAGTGTCGGAAGCCTTTTACCGTTGCCTCCAGCAGCCTCTAGCTCCCACAGGTCAGGTCCTCTGTGCAGCGTCTGTCATTTCCCTCTCCCCTGTGGAAGCTGGGCTGCTGCCAGTTTTCCTAGGCTACCATGAGTGTCTTTTCCTTGACTCGCTTCCTTGGTCCCTCCATCTTCCTGTGCCCAGGCCCTTCTCAGACGGTATTCAGTCCTGGGGTCTTACCTCTCAGCGTTGTTTGGATGTGTTCATCACTACGATGCCTTTCTCTCCCTTTACCCACGTGTAACTTGTTTGTTCTTGGTGTTCTACTGAGTCCCTCCACAGGAAATCCTTGCTGCCTCTGGCTGGAGGAGTGGCTCAGTGACGCGGCCCTTTCTCTGGAGCACATACGGAGCCTGGGCTCTGGCTCTCTCGGGAAGTGCTTTACTGTCTGTCTGAGTGAGAACAGAGCCCTCCTTCCTCAGTACCTCAAAGCTGGACTCTCAGCCCCACACACCTGCAGCTACCCTCACCATGAGTCCATCTGCCTTAACCTGCATACCTCCGACACCTGGACAACCCCTTGTACTCACGGGCCAGTTACAACCACTACCAAAGGGAAAGAGACCCTTGGGGGCTATCAAGGGCATTTGTGCTGGAAACTTTATTCTTGAGAAGTTCCATCTTCATTTCTGCTACAGTTGGAACTTCCAGAGGAAGAGAGACCTGAGGGCTTGCACATTTTGGGGCCTGCTCAGATCCAAACCTTCACCCTCCCACTGCAACCTTGGCAGCAGAATACACTTAACCTAAAGCAGTATTAGGGGTTGAGGAAAACCTGGTGGGATGAGCATTATTTCTGTTTGACCCTGTGGCTCCATCTTATTGTCTTTATGATGGTGATGCAACTGAATACCTCCAGCGGAGAAAGAGGACTGGGTATAGTAAAAATAATCATTTGTGTAATTAAAGTTTATTTAAGCACAAAATACTTTCTCTGTCTATAAAATTTCTGTTTCCTTGCCAAGGGGGACAGATCTCTCCAGACAACTAAAACCAGGTGCATAGCTCTATATAGACATGTGCATGGTGGCTAGAGCCCCTTCACCCAAGTGTCTCTCTCTTTCTCTCTCATGATGGTTTCTTCAGGGAGAGGAAGAGGGGACCTGGGTGAAGACCTGGGAAGATTTCGAGTGGGCTAGGCAATTAGGCTATACCTTGAAGAAGCCCACAGTCTCCGTGGATAGCTCTACTGCAGGTATCCACCTAGGCACTTCTCTATACTCTGCCAAGGGAAATGGGGTATTTTGCCTCTCACAGAAAGCACTGGCCTGTCTTGGTCTGCACTGAAGGAGTGCAGCTCTCCATAGCATGTTTGGTGGTTATGGGTTAAATGTGTGGCCAGTTCATGATTTTTCTTGAGCAGGGACCATGTGTGCTCCATGCTCACACCATGCTCTCTAAGTTCTCTTTAGACAGAGCCTCAGCTGCCACTTCAGCCTGGTTCTCATACGGTGTGTAGGAGTCCTGGTAATCTTGAAGCAGTTTCACTACCTCCAGGTGATTGAACTGCACAGCATCGTCCAGGGGAATGTTGCCCCACCTGAGAGGAACAAAGAAGACAGAGAGAGTGCCCTGGTTCTATACATAACAGTGGTGGCTACCCACACCCCCTTTTAGCTTAATCCTACTCACCTGTCCTTGACAAAAGGATTCACTTTGCAAGCCTCAATCAGAAATTTAACAACTTCAATGTGTCCTAGGAATATGGGCAGAGGGAAAATGAGAGGGTACAGATCCTGAACCTTTTGGTGACAACAATGGTGCAGACCCTTGGCAGCTGGAGTTCTGAACCAATAAAGGAGGGGAAAAGGCCTCTTCCCATTTTGTTCCCTGCAGTACCCAATAATAGCCTGCAAACTGAAGGGTGTCTGGACAGAACCATCCTGAGGGCACACCCAGTTGGGTGGGGGGTACTCTTGGTAGAAAAGGGTCTTCTGATCTACTTATTTAACCTCTTATTTAACCTTCAGATACCTTCAGCTGCAGCAACATGCAGGGCTGTGCGGGAGTCATAGTCTTTCTGTTCCATGTCCATGGCTGACAAGGCAAACCTGAGGGTAGTGGAAAGCAGCTGGAGTAACTCATATCAGCTTAGAATCACTCATGTCCTTTCTGAAGTGGGGTCAGACTGGATAGGTCCCAGAGCTTATGCCAAAATCATAGGCCTCGCACAATGTGTTCTCTACCCAGATGAGACTGTTACTCCCACGTCAGAGAAATGGGAGTGTGATGGTTCCAGAAACATCACTGTTTATCTGTGGTAGCTACCCAGTACATATTTGCCGATGTTGTAATCCTTACCTACCACCTCTGCTCTGAACACCCAGGTTAATCCTAACAGTGCTACCATTAATTAAGGTCTTATCACATAGTAGGCACTGTACTTTGAAAAAATTTTCATTTCAGTGCACTGTGTGTCCATTGTATCTGATTCTAAAGCTGAAGCACTTAACTATTTTGCTATGATAACTCCTTATGAGATCTCTGACCGGGAGTATTTTATTGTGTTTATTTGGTCACAGAGGTACCTTCGAAGAGCTGAGACATCTCCACTATAGGCAGCAAATAACAGGTTTACCACAGTCTTGTTCTGGAAAACAGATCATACCCACTTGAGATTAACTGTGACTTTGAGCCCACCCATGCCCAGCTCCACCTCATGACGCTCCTCCCTGGATGCTTAGCCAAGGGTATTCTGAAATATTCTTAGACGCCAGCTGGGGTCTTCCTTACCCTTACTTCTCCCCCTTCACGCCGCGGGTCTAACTTTCGCGCACAGTGTCTCAGGTTGTCATAGTTGTGGAAATTGAAGAGAGACACCAACTTCTAAAATTGTAAGCCAGAGAGATTATTTACTTACTCCTTGCTCTTAGTAGGAGCTAAAAATTGCTTTAGTTACTCATTCAAGAATATTGGGTATTATGTGCGAAGTAACTTACCTGGCAGAAACTGATGCCCCTGTGGCTGTTCCCCAGCTTGTCCAGTGGAGGGGAGAGACACATCATTCCCATGACATTGGGTACCACCAGGAGGATGGCTCCTGACACAGCTGACTTGGCTGGCAGGCCCACCTTGGGGACAAAATTGAAACTGAGGATGAGCTAGAGGTGTTCCAAGTCTGGGTTAATAGTTTATCCCAAATGACTATGTGGGCAAGGCCACACCCACCTCAACCTTTTGGCTTGTTAATTAGCTTTTCCTACTCCTGACCTCCCCTCCCCCCCCTTTAAATTCATGGCTTCAGTAAGGAAATATTTATTGGGTATCTACTCCGTGACTGATGCTAGAACTAGGACAAAACCTCTCACTCTGATGCTAGGAGATAGACAGTAAACAGGTAGACAAATAGACAAAAATAATCACAGCTTATGATCACACAGAAGAAAAGTAGGAAGATGTGATAGAGAAGTGGGAGGGGCACCACCTGAGGATAAAGTGGTCAGAAAAGCCTCTCTCTGGAGGTGACATCTAACCTGAAGTCTAGAGAAGCACCAGCCATGTGAAGGGCCACAGAAGATTGGTCACAACATCATGTGTTTGTGTTTGAGGGACTTTATGTGTTTGGCAAACCCCTAAGGATTCTCAGCCTAATTGCCTGGCTGGAAGTTAGTGAATGGGAGGCAGGTACAAGCTTCCACCTCTCCACCTTCAGAGACTCAATGTCCGCTCTGCCTGGCTACGGGCTTGTGGCACATGGATGGAAGGGCCAGAAGCACTTACGTGGAAGGCAAACTGGCCTGAGAAGTCATACATGCCGCAGGAGTGCATGAGGCTGAGGGTGTTGCGCACTGCTTCAGCGCTCAGCACGCTCTCTCCTGTGATGGGGCAGATCCCACCATTGGCCAGGGTGGCTGCCATGACACTGCCTGATTCACAGGTTACCTCCACGGAGCACAGCTATGGAGACAGGGCAGAGGTGAGGGTGTGGTGTGGACCTGAACACTCTTGGTTGCAGAGCAACGTTCTTGGCATCCTGATCTTTCTACCAGTTCCCCTGGTGTTTCCGGAGGAGCGTCCCTTTGGGTCAGAGCAGGAAGTACAGTCTGTCCTGTTCCCTTGACCCTGAGCTGAGCAGCAGTGTTTACCTGGAAGTAGAGATCCAGGGCAGCCATCATGTCCACCCCCTTTGGGAAGCACTGCAAGGAAGAAGAGGGGAGGGGAGAGCATCTCTCCTCAGGCCATCTGTAGTCTTTTCACACGGCCAGGATCTCAGCCCAAGTCCCCAGCCCGAACTGCCCTTCCCCAGCCACAGAATTCCCCGGGACTTGCTCTCCCGGCCTCTCCCGATTACCTTCTTTTCCTTTAGATAATAGCCGATGGCATAATTCCGATCCCCCGTTTCCTTCTCTGACTGGAATCTGAAGCAAACACCCAATTTAGTACTTGATGTTTGAGGGGTGGGTGTGAGGAGAAGGGGGAAAAATACCTTCCCTGAGAGAGACAACTACATTGCACATGTTAAATTAAATCAACCCCTTTATAAATTCTCAGTAATACTGCGAAACTCCGGGACCCCAGCAAACACCAGGCAGAGCTTTATTATAAAGTGTGAAAAACAAAACCCCAAATTGTTTAGTCATCTGGTCTAGAAAAACATGGCTTTGAGAGGCTTGGCAAGAAATCCTTACATCACCTCGTTCATTAAGTACTAAATAGAAATAGAGCAAGTTCTTTTATAAAATAAACAAATGCCAATGAAGGGGCTCAGAGAAAGCTGGGAGGCCAGAGTTCCCTTGGGATTTCTTCCTCCTATGGTTCTATTCTGTTCTCATATTCTCTCTCTCTCTCTCTCTCTCTCATTTACACACACACACACACACACACACACACTGTATTCAGCCAATCCTGTGAACAAGGTCTTACGTGGCATTGCTGAAACCCACGAATTCATTTCCAGCCATTTTGTTCAGATACTGCAATACCTAGAAGAGAGAAAGAGGCATGGGAGGCACCACATGAGTGAGGACCCTACTAACTCTCTGAACTCCTCAGTCTTTTTCCCAGCAAGAACTTCAGGTGCCTTTCTTCTCTGAGGCCAGCAGATCCCCACAGTTCTGGAAACAAGGCTTCTAGTATGGGCTGGTGCACTACCAAAGGGTTAGAGCCAGGCACTGGGGCAGCTGGAGAGGACAACATGCCACGGAGAAAAGCAGCCAGGGGCTGAGTAGCAAGGAAACTTACAAAATCAAACTTCTCTGCTTTGTTACAGTCCATCTGCAGAGAGAGAGAGAAAGAGAGAGAGATATCAGTGTTCCAAACCTAGGAAGATGACAGAGGAGGATCAGAAGGACCCAGTTAAAGTGTTAGACTAGTTTGCTTCTGGGAATGTGTTACATCTTACAATCACCCTTTTTTTTTTCTTTTTTCTTAAAAAAAAAACCACACCAATAAACAGCTAAGACTTTTTAGTATCCATGTATAGTTAGTGACCTTAAAAACAAGATTGCTAAGATTTTATCAAGTAATGCATACAAATAACCTCACCCCATCTACGAGCCTCACTCCCACTTCCATTCTCAATTCTGCCCCTCATCACAGACTCCCACTTTCATTTTCCTGGTTCCAATCCTGTCCCAAACCCCACCCCTATTCCGATCCCATCCCCATGCCTTACACCCCACGCTGGATCCTCACTCTATCCTTTCCTGGACTCCCATAGCCGTCTCCAAGACTGGAGTGACAGGAATGGGATGAGGGTGTGTGTTGCATATATTATAATATTCAGGTTTATCAATTATGTTGATAATTGAAATAAAGCTAAAGATTTTAGCTGAAAATCAAGTCCAATAGGGTCTGCTTAGATGGGAATGGAATGAGGCAGGCCCCAGACACAGAGCTGTAGATAGAGCTGTCCCAGAGCATCTGCCCAGCTCTCGAGGGAGCCTGGTCTCCTCCCACCCTCATTACTTCCCGCATATGTCAACTACAGTGTCAACATCACAGGAACTCTGACACCTAAGTCCCTGGAGGAAGGGCTCCCAACACCACCTTCCCCAGGAGGAACTGTGATTGGCTCCAGAGCATTGCTGCCCACATTACTCTCAGGTTGTTACTCAAGCCCTGGGAGACCTACAGCTGACAAGCCAGCCCGACACCTTTGCTCAAGGCCAACTCATAGTTCCAGGTGACGTGAATAGCTACCCTGGCCTGGCCATTCACCCTTCCTTCTGTGTGTCCCTCACCCAGAAGTGGCCAATCAGCACCTAATAGTGTTGTCCTCCCCCTGTGTCTGGCATTTGGCCCTTGGTCCTAGGCAGGGGTCAGGACCTGCTCACTTCTCTAAGGGCCAGGAAGCTCTGGGTTCCTGACTCGTGGGTGGGGGCAGGGGTAAAGTTCCTTTTACTAACATCCTCATATGTGCCCTCACTGCCTCCTGAGGATCCTCAAAGGAATCAAAGCCCCACCAGTCTCCCTGGAGAGCTGGACAGATATGAGGGATATCGGAACAGGGGGTTTAGAGAAGGCTAGGGTGGCACTGACCTTGATCAGGGAGCTCACAACAATGGCGCCAGCATTGACCATGGGGTTATGGGGGATTCCTGAGGAAATACAAACCACCCAGTGTCTTATCAGCCACTGAGAAAAAACCTTGTTTACAGTCTTCCCACTCTGCAGGCTAGACTAGAAAGATTTCTTTGCTGGGGAGGATGGAATGACAGAGCGAATCAGGAAGGGCAGAGAAATAAAAGAGGGTGAGGTGAGGATAAGAGGGGAGCATTTATGAGTCTGTTCTGAGCCCTGGCAGTGCTCACCTTCCTCGTTGAGGGAGAGCTTGTTGTAGCGCAGGCCACTGGGCTCCTTGCCCACAAACGTGTGCACGTAGTCAGTGCCTAGGGTGCTTACAGAGATGGCATAGGTGAGGGGCTTGACGCAGGATTGCAGGCAGAAGGGGATCTTTGTGTGGCCCACGGAGTGCCTGGAGGTAGACAGCTGCCATGAGAGGTCGGCCTATGTTCTGCACCCGGGCCCTGCTTCCCCTCTCTCACCCAGCATCTCACCGCTGACCATCCACAGTACACAGGGAGACGCCCCACAGGTCTGGATTTGACTTGGCCAGCTGAGGGATGTAGGCTGCCACCTGGTCAGGAGTGGGTAGAGAAAACGGACAGAATGGAGATAGGGATGTGAAGAAGGGGAATAGAGCTGCTGAGGTTCAGGGTCAGGAGAATCTTTTAGATAAAGGCTAAAATTCTGTTTTCTCTAGGGCAACAGAGCTCCCTCCTGCCTGTTGTTTTCAGAGACACCCAAGACTTAAGTCCTAGAACACCTTCTCTTTCTGTAGCTCCACTGCTATAGAGAAGGCAGTAAAGTCCATGAAAAGTAAAAAGAAGAATATTCTGAGATCAGCTTCCCTTTTTGGTTCTTAGGCTCAATTATCCTATAAGTCTCTTTCAAAGTTCTATTGAGTCCTTATGCCAAATGTCCCCATAAAAACTTCAAATCCCCTCACTTGCTTTAGAAATTGCATGTATAGAAATACATAAAGCCCTTGTCTCCATTTTTAGAGGTTCTGCTTCTCACCCCTCATCCACTGGATTCCCAGCCCCAGGAAATCTCAGAGAAGCAAGGTATATCTGGCCCAGAGCCCTTGCCCCTCCCCTAGTCCCCCGGCCCTCACTTTGCCTCCAGTGAACTCTCCGGCATCCTCAAAGATGCGATCCACATGGCCCGTGAACTCCTCAAAATCAGGAATGACAAACTTCTTTCGGAATGCCTGGGTCAGGAGCACAATGTTGCTGCTCACACACCTGGATTCCAGACGTGAGTGGGTTAGGGAGCTGGAGAGATGCGGCTGTGACTCACTCTGGAGCCGTGGAAATTTGGAATAAAGGTGTGAGTGGTCATCGGGTTTGGGACCAATACTGTGTGACCTTTGGCACGTCACACTGTCTTTCTGGGTCTTGAGTTTCTCTGCCTCTAAAATGAGGGGCTGGAATAATGTGGGAAGATAGCCCAAGAAAAATAAATACTCGAATAATATGCATAGTAGGTCATCTTTATATTTTAAAAATCCTAAATAAGCATATTTACATATATTCTTATATGTATGTAAATGCATAGGACATTACCTAAAAGATACTCATCTGTTAATAATGTTTACTTCTGGGAAATGGAACTGAGATTGGGGAGACGGGGAAAGAAGAAAATGTATTTCTATATTGTTTGAACTCTTATACTGAGTATGTGCGTACTCATGTGTAACTCGTGTAATAATAAAATAAAATGAGGGGCTGAACTATCCAATCCCTAAGATCCCTCCCTGCTGTTATCATCTATGTCCAAGAACAATTGAGAGCGGTGCTCTTGTTTCTGGGGCCCTCACTTTTGGAAGAGATCTCGGTCCAAGAGGCCGCCACTGCTGGACTCTCGAACCATGCGGCGCATCTGGCTCATGCAGTCCCGGAGCCGGGGATCTGACGTCTGCAGTCCAGTAGCCTTCAGTGCCTTTAGGGTAAAGAAGAAGCTAATAAGATCAGCCACACGGCCAATAATGCAATCCTAAAAATCTTTCCCAATGGACAACAATTAGCTTAACCCCAACTACTACATTCTGTGTAACAAATGGATTTGCAAACTAAGCAGAAACATAACAGCTTTGAAGGCTAATGGGGGTTTCCTACCCTTTTTCACCAAGGCAGCTGGTTTCTGAACCCCTTGGATCAAAGTCCCAAACCAAGAAGATGGGCTGGGTCAGAGGAGTTAATCTTCCCATCCTGGGGCAGGGATGGGATTGTCTCATCAGCCACGGCATCTACTATTCTTCATCCTCATGAAGCAACCCATTATTAGCTGCCCTGTACTTGTCCTACCGTTTTCCCCACTTTCAAGAGATCCCAAGGGCCTTGGCCAGATAATTCAGTTGGTTAGAGCATCGTCCCCATACGCCAAGGTTGTGGGTTGGATTCCGGATCAGGGCACATACAAGAATCAACCAATGAATGTTTAAATAAGTGGAACAACAAAATCAATGTTTCTCTCTTTCCCTTACTTTCTCTAAAATCAGTAAGAGATCCCAAGGGATTAGGGTTCTGAGCAGGTAGAGAAACTTACAGTAGTGAACTTGTGGATAGGGATTCGTTCCTGTCCCTCAGCAATAGTGTAGAAGAGCAGGTCACCCAAGCGAGACAGCATGCCACTCTCTGACGAATCACTGTTTGGGGGCAGAGACGGGGGAGGAGGGCAGGAGACTGAGAACTGATCCTTGCTCCTCCTGGAACATGGGCTTATAAGTAGTAGGTATCTTCATTCTAGGCCTCCTCCCTGAGCTGTCTGATCTATCCCCATAATGTCAACTTTCACATCTGTCCTGAGAAGTCTTAAATTTTATTCACAAGCTTTTTGTTGTTGCTGCTGTTCCTGGCCTTTAGACTTTTATTTCTAGCTGCCTTCTAGACATTTCCATTACTAGATGTTCCACAGGAACAACACACTTAGCATGTCCAAACCTGATGTAATTTCACCTCTGCTGCTCTTCTTGTGTTTCCATCTGGGTTCATAGTGTTACCACTCCTCCAGTTGCCAAGCTGGGAACATGCAACCATTTGGATAATTCCCATACCTTGCATCCATGTTCAGTTGGTAAACAATGTTGGATGAATTTACCTCCATAATGTCTCAAATCGACCCTCTTTTCTTCTCTTCCCTTGTGCCAGCATGGTATAGTAGAAAGAACCAGAGTTTGCACCTTAATAGTTGTGTGATCTTAATATAGGTAGTAAGGTTATTTAATACTGCTGAACTGGCTTCCTCATCTATAAAATAAGGGTAGTAATGTCTGCTTTACATGGGTGATGTGAGGCTTCATTAAAATAACATTCCATAAATTCCAAAAGCTGTCTTTCACGAAGCAGAGGCTCGGCAAATCATGCTTCCTTATCACCAACTCCTAACGGTACTATACTCTCTTCTTGCCTTCCAACCCATCTTCCACAATGCATGATCATCTTTCTAAAACGCAAATGTCATTTCACTATGGAAAACCTTGGATAGCTCCCTATTGCCTACAAAATAAGTTATTACATCTTGGTATTATTCCTTGGTATAGCATTGAAGGCTCTTGAGAACCTGCCAACATTCCTTTCCTATTCTTCACTGTGCCCCCTCACTCCAGTTATGCCAGGTGGCTCCCAAATGGGCCAGGTATTGTCAGGCTTCCTGGCCTTTGCTTATGCTAAAACTTCTGCATGGAATAACCTCTTTATCCTTCATGTTGCATAGTCCTGCTCATCCTTCAAGGTCCAAATGAAATGTTACTAACTCTTTAAAGGCTTCCCCAACCTGCAGATGCTGCTATACTGCTGGTATGACACAACATATCATCTTATTGACAGAAGAATTTCTCTTGTTCCACTGTTAGGTCTTTGTGTTTTATATATTTTTGTTTTCCTAGCATTGAGCAAAGTCCCTAGCACACAGTGGGTCTTCAAAAAGAATTACCTAGTTACACTTGTAGGAAGTTCTCTGTTCCCCAAATTATCTCTCTAGCTGGCTTATAACACTTAAGATTCCAGGTACTGAAAATTTCTTGGTCTTCAAGAAATGTTATTAATATGTTAACAGATTTAGAGGAATTATTTTATCAGATCATTCCAAATATGACAGCAATTTGAGATTACGACCCTTAAAAACCCTCTGATCCAACAATTTGTCCAGCATTTATCCTGTAGGTGTACTCACATACCTACAAAGTAACACATTCACTGCATTGTTGCTGATAAGTAAGACTAAAACAACCTACATGTGTATTAATAGGGAACTGGATAGGTGATAAGTAAACTATAGTGTATTTATATCATGGACTATTGTGCAGTGTTAAAAAAGAAAAAGAAAAAAAAAAGAGCCCTGGCCAGGTAGCTCAGTCGTTCTGATACACCATGGCTGCAGGTTTGATCCCAGCTCAGGCCACATACAAGAATCAATCAGTGAATGCATAAATAAGTGGAACAACAAATTGATGTCTTTCTCTCTCTCCCCTTACCTCTCTAAAATCAATAAAAAATTAATGAGGGCATGCGTAAATATTGACTTAATATGATGTAATAGTAACTAAAGGAAGCAAGCTATAAAACATTATTTTTAGTATGGTACTATTTATGTTTAAAAGGGAAAAGTATATATATTTGCTTTTTCAGGCACAAAATATTTCTGGAAGACTGATTTATCTCTCCCTAGATGAAGCAGGTGCTGGCAAAAGGGGTGGGAGGGATATTTCCCACTATATATCTTTTTGTACATTTTGAATTGTTAACTATATGCATATGCATGTTATCTATTGAATAGGATATATGCGAATATGAATATATTCTCTGTTGAAACAATGCATTAAAAATAAAACAATATTAAAAATCAAGAAGCTTGGCATAGACTAGGCATGTGTATATGTATTTTGTTCTAGGAGAAATACTAAGAGAGGGGGAAGTTTTCCTGTTTCTGAGGAAATCCAATTGTCACAATAAACGTAGTGCCTATAGGGAAGTGAGGATCCATGTGGTGACAGAGGAAGGGAGGAAAAGATATCTTAAGAATAGCTCAAGAAGGAAAATACACAGGAACACTTTGAGGGCAGGTCTTTCTGCCCGAAGCTGAAGGAAGACAGGAAATAATGCCATCTTACTGAATGTGTCTCAGCCTTAAATAAATTGTACACTCTTGCCCTGGTCGGTATCTCAGTGGTTGGAGCATCGGCTTGCGCACTGAAGGATTTCGAGTTCAATTCCCGTCAAGGGCACGTACCTCGGTTTGGGTTTGCTCCCTGCCCCCTGGTCAGTTGGGGCTCATGCAGTCCATGTGTCTCTCTCACATAGATCTCTCTCTCTCTCTCTCTCTCTCTCTCTCTCTCTCTCTCTCTCTCTCTCCCCCCCTCTCTCTCCCTCTCTCTCCCTCTCTCCCTCTCCCTCTCCCTCTTCTCCCTCCCACCTACCCACCCACCCTCCCTCCCTTATACTCTCTGAAAGAAATGATGGGAAGAATGTCCTCAGGTAAGGACTAACAAAACAAACCAAAACAAACAAACAAAATTGCACACCCTTTGACCTAGATATGGATTGATCTACAACATAATGTTGAGGGGGGAAAGCAAAATGTAGAACAATGTATATAGTATGACACCATTTGCATAAAAAAGGGAAAATAATATTAACATGTACTGCTGATATATGCAAAAAATAACTCTAGAAGATTATACGAGATATCAATCTCTGGAGAGCAAACTCTTCTAGCAATTTATTCTAAGAAATAATTGAACAAGTGCACAAGAATATGTAGTAACTAAACTGAAAAGTGGTTAAATTATGATACTTCATACAATGGAATCTTAAAATGGCAAAATGGCAGCCATTAAAATAACAATATATACACATATTCAATGATATTGAAAGCTGTTTAAATGGAAAAGATAGGTTACTAAATAATATGAATGCCAAGGCCCTATTTTTGTTAAATTTTATATATACATATATAGGATAGGATATATATGGATATATATCACAAAATTAATTGGAAACTTAATTTTTTTCTTGATGTTCTATTTATCTTGTTTTTCTTTTATAATAAAAACAATAAAGCTAAATATTAAAAAACAAACAAACAATAACCTGAATAATGGTATTTTCTCTTTACTCCCCCTTTTCCCCTAACACAAGAACCCCTTCCCCTTCAGTGCTCTCAGCTCCTTCTGCCCAAGGGAGCATCAGTCCAAGACCATTAACAAGAGTCCCTGGGAGCACAGGCAGCCATAGGCAGGGGGATCAAGCTTTCTAAAAACACCCTGATCCACCTGACTCACTGGATAAGGAAAGGGGGCAGGGACCAGGGACACCTCTTGCTCCCCACCCCACAGACAGTGTGAGGGTGAAGGAGGTTAAGCCTTGGCTCTATCCCACCGTCATTTCTCCCAGGGCAATTTTTGGGGAAAGTTGAGTGGGGGAGTAGATCAGGAGAGATAGGGCTTATTCTTTAAAGTTGATATGTTCCATGTCTCCTTGAGAAGAGGCTGATGGAAAAGTACAGCATAATAATTATTAATAATAAACACATAAATAATACCATATTGGTCAGAGCTGGGATTCCAGTGGCGGTGAGGTAGTGCTATGTGTCTGGCTACTTTAATTACGGTGTGCACATCTTTCTGAAAGTCATCAGTAGATGTCAGTGACAGGGGAGACGGTCCGTTTCCTGCTCCTGCCATAATAGAGCAGGGGCGACTTGGACATGTCTACATTCACTTCTGGGGAGGGCAGTATTTCCTGTCCTGCCTCTGTCTGTGTCTCAGAGGAAAGAGGCTCAGCCACCAAGCGTTCCTGGGTATTGAGGGTTAGGGCACAATAAGAGCCCCGGGGGGGAGAGGGAGAGAGCCCTTTAGATCAGTAAGCCAGGGAAGCACAGATAACAGATCTGATGGGCTCTAGTTTCAGAAATCTGCGTTTTATGCCCCCTCCCATCCCGCCACTATGATAAAGATTTTCCCCATTCAACAACCAACTGGAAAAACACCCTTATTCACAGATTAGGGAGCCCTGGCAATGCACACACCCAACACTTACGCAAACAACACACGCACCAACGTACTTGCGCACCAATAATACACGCGCATCACATTATACGCCGAGAACGCGCCGAGACACAGACCCCCACACTGACAGACTCCCCACCCCGACAGACCCCCACACCCCGACAGACCCCAGTGCAGCAGGACTCGGGAGGGAGGCTGTTGCGCCCCCACGCACCCCCTAAGATACCCGCGAGGAGGAGGAGAGGGAGGATGAGGCTGGGTGGTGCGCACACAGCCCCGCACTCAGACACGTGCACCGAGAAACACGCCGCGCATCCAGGTTCCCGGCGAGGTACGCACCTGGGACAGGCACCATCCCGAGGACCGACCTGACCAAACGCTCTCCCGGGCGGACGGCATTTTACTGCCCGAGCGCGGCGGACCCAGAACCCCAAATCTAAAGGAAAAGGCATCGCCGGCGAGTGAGCGAAGAGAGGAGAGGGAAGAAGACGAGCTGCGCTCCCGAGGAACGGGACTTGGGAGCTAGAGAGTGGGAGCCGGTGCCCTACCCGTCGCGCAAGCCTTACTGAGCCTGGTGCTGCGGCTGGTGGCTGTGCGGCGTCTCCCTGCCCTGCGCCGCGGCCTCACTGAGGTGGTGCCGGACGCCCCCGCCCAGGAGGGGGCTCCGGCTCAGGTGACCCCAGTCTCCCCTCCAGCAGTGACTGCCGGCCCTGCTCAGCGCCTTCTGCAGAGCCTTCATGGAGCGCATCCCCCCAGCACGTCGCCCGTTCCGGCGGAGCGCCCCGGGCGTCTGAACCGTGGCTGGAAGGAGGGGCGGAGGAATCGGGGACGAGGAAAGGTGGGGGGAGCTCTGGGATGGAGTGTGAAGCCCGGGAGGTGTCCGAGAGCTGGGGCCGGGTGGGTGGGATTGTAACAGGAGGAGGCGCCTGTCCCTATAAGGCTCGAGCCGCTGTCAGGTGCACCCAATACCCGCTGGCCAGGGGATGGGTGAGCGGATCCCGGGCGAGGGGAGAACGCGGGCGGAGGGCGTCTCGGTGCGCGGGGAGGAGGGGGCGGGGCCTGAGGGTGCGGATGGACACGGCCGCAGTGCAATCACCGAGGAAGCCAGAACCTCGGGGGCGGGGAAAAGAGGAGCCTACCCAATCAGTGCAAGGGGGCGGGCCGCCCGAAAGCCTGCGGACTCCAGCGCTCAGCGACCCCCCGAGGTCGCAGGCGGGGCGTGCGGACGCCGAGGGCGGGAAAAGCGTGTGAGCTCCGCTCGCCGCGAGGACACGGCGGCCCGGGAGGATGGGGTTCGCAGAGGAAGAGCCGAGGGGCGCCTCTCTACACTAGCGGCCACTTAGTGGCCCTCGACGTTCGGAGGCCAGAAATGGCCCGCAGTGGCCCTCGCAGTGCGGGCGTGGAGGCCAAGTGCTAATCTCCGCCAAGTGGTATCGGCGAGCGGGGAGTCAAACGGCCGGGAGCACCCCGACCGGAAACAGCCCCCGCGGCACTTTAATGAGGTCAGGAGGCCGCGAGAAGCTCACCGCGGTGCTTGCTCAGGTGCTTGGGTTCCCTTATCTATGTCAGTTATTCAGTGGCTGTTTAGGGTGCTTGGGTCTTCTTAACTCCGTGCCCGCCCTTCAACCTTTTATTTATTTTATTTTTTATTGATTTCTTACCAAGAGGAAGGGAGAAGGAGAGAGAGAAGCATCAATGTTTGGATTTTTTTTTTTTTTTTTGCCCTTTGAGGCATTTTATTTCCACATATATATCACATCCCTAGAAAAAGAATCCCAGGATTTTCCCTCCTGTGTTTTCGTCTTCTTCATGGTCCATGATGCCCGCTGAGGTTGTCAGTACAATGAAACCAAATCGACGGGACGGAAGCAAGTTGTTCTGCCATTTTTCCAGACCTTTTAGTTGCACGTCAAATCTGGGGCTGATTACTCCACACTTGTTCAACCTGACTGTGAGGTTCACAACAGTTTTCCCAGCTCTGTGGTCATCAATAATTTCAAATTCGCCAATGTAACCATGCTTCATCAGCACAGTCAGAAACCGGACGATGACTTTGGAGCACGGCCTGATGAGAGCCTGGCGCTTGCCTCTCTTTTCGGCATTGTTGATCCTCTTCAGAGCATCAGCCAGGACATTCATGCGCACCATGATGGCCGCGCGGACCGATGGAGGAAAGAGGAGAAGCATCAATGCTGAGAGAGAATCATTGATTGGCTGCCTCTTGCACGCCCCCTACTGGGGACCAAGCCCATAACCAAGGTCCATGCCCTTGACAGAATGGAATCTGGGACCCTCCAGCCCGCAGGCAGACTCTCTATCCACTGAGCCAAACCCACTAGGGCCGCCCTTCAACATTTTATAAACCGTAAAGTACTTCCAAAATCTTAGTTATTTCAATTGCTTGCCCCTGTCTTTCTCAGGGGCCAAAAAGAAGTGATGCATAAAAAGAATTTTGAAAATTCAGCACATTTAGGAATTTTACCATTTGCAGCTAGAAGAACATTCACCTGTATCTTCACAAAGCCTAACTCAGCATCTATATTTAGTAGGAAATCGTGTAAATAAGAGCTATCACCTAGTGTGTATAGTGTGCCCACCTTTATATAATTTATCTCATGCTCTTACCAGAGACCTACAAACTAGTTATTAGTTGTATTTTGAAGATGAGGAAACCAAGACTCAGAAATTATGACTTGCTTGAATAAATAACCCAGCTAATTAGTAGGGGCAGGAATCAGACCCAAGTCTCTGACGACAAGGCTGTCTTCATGATGCAGCTTTTACCAAAATTAACTGTTAGATTGAATTATTCCAGGAAATGACCTCATCCCCTAAAGGAAGCATCTTATGTGGAAGCATTATGATACAGTGCTGAGAGTTGTCTAGAGGCTGGCTGTGTCACAAAATAGCACTTTTCATTTTGGGATTAAAATGAGCATCAAGGGTAACCATGGGGAAATAAACATCAAAGCCACACGCTGGCGTATTCTGTGGGAAGGCAGTTCTCCTTTGCCTTGGTTAGGGTTGGGGGTTTATTTGGTTTGAAACCATATGAAGTGACCTTTCTTTGTGTGTGTGTGTTTGTTTTTTTCTTCTGTAGTCATTTCCTATCTGTTCTCCGGATGGACATGACTCTAATTCAGGAACTCCAGCTTGCCCTGGGCTGGTTCATGCATGGTTTTCCCCATTAAGTAATTTAAGAAAGTTCTGGGTCCTAATACTTTGTATAAACTCAAGCCAGCATTAGTTTTTCCAAAGGTAACAAGCTAATCTTATCCTTATTTCATAAGAATGTTATTTCTCTGAAGCTTTTTGAACTGTCAAGAGAAAGATACCATATCTTAGGGGATTTCTAAACATTAACCAGAAGTTATTTGCTTCCTTTTATTTCCTACTCCCGCTTTTTTGAATTAGCCTTAATTCTAATCAGTAATTAGTTCCTCACTCTTTTTCTCTCCAGTTCTCCCCAATAATAGGAATTGGTTGGGCAGTGAAGCAAACCTTCCCCATAGAAGGGGAGGTTGTTTGCATAGAGAACTAGCCCCCAGCTGAACTTTGGCCTTTGGACCCATTCTTCTTTTACTACAATATTGCTGCCTCTGCGTGAGGATGGAACATGAACCAGTGACTTGGGAGGCCCAAAGCATAGTGTGAAGTATAAGACATTCAAGAAGAACAAGTTTGTCATCCCAGGTGGTTAAGCTTGGCAGCGTTAGGTCCTTTTTTGGTTTCTGATGGAAATGGACTCGTCTAGTTAAATCTGTGCAAAAGTGTTAGCCAATTATGACATGGCCAGCTATAAATGAGGCTTTTTATAAGTGAAAGAAAACTCTTGCATGTACCTCTAATAGGTTTTTTATGAAATATATATTTTATTGATTTTTTTACAGAGAGTAGGGGAGAGGGATAGTTAGAAACATTGATGAGAGAGAAACATCGATCAGCTGCCTCCTGCACACCCCCTACTGAGGATGTGCCTGCAACCAAGGTACATGCCCTTGACCAGAATTGAACCTGGGACCTTTGAGTCCGCGGGCTGACGCTCTCTCTATCCACTGAGCCAAACCGGTTAGGGCTGATTTTGAATTCTTAAATCAGAAAAGCTAAACCCTCTGTGGTACAAAATTGGGAACTTGATGTTTGTGTTCAGAGAATATTTACTTGTTATGATTTATTAGAGCAGTGGTTCTCAACCTTGGCTGCACATTAGAATCACCTGGAAATCTGTTTAAAATCCCGATTTCTGGGCCTCATCCTCTGGAAATTCTGTTTCTTTGTTATGGGGTGGGGCCACAACATTAGTAACAAAGAAACAGAGTTTCCGGAGGATGAGGCCCAGAAATCAGCATTTTAAAAAGTTCCCAGGTGATTCTAATGTGCAGCCAAGGTTGAGAACCACTGTATTAGAGGTTCATTTGTTCAGTTACTACAGGTGAAGGATTATTTCACCTAAGTTATTTTTTTCGTTAATTTTTGTTCTGCTAATGTTACTTTTGGTATACTCCTTTCTGTCTTAGTTTATCCATTTGTAAAGATAATCTGTTTTTCTGGGTAAAATATAAGTACTGAGAACTCTAACATAATCATCTGCCATTCGTTCAGTGGATATTTTTCATTGTGCCAGGCCCAGAAATTAAAAGAACAGTTTCTGACTGCCCAGCCAGGGTCACTCAGTGGTTGAGCATCGACCCATGAACCAAAAGGTCACCAGTTCAATTCCTGGTCAGGGCACATGCCCAGGTTGCAGGCTCCACCCCCCTGGGCATTTGGGAGGCAGCCAATCTCCCATTGATGTTTCTATCTCTTTCTCCCTCTCCCTTCCTCTCTCTTTAAAATCAATAAAAACGTATTTTAAGAAAATAAAACAACAAAATAAAAAACAGTTTCTGACTATTGGAAGAAATGAGAAAGTCAGTGTTTAAAATTCCTAATGAGCCCTGGCCAGGTAGCTCAGTTGGTTAGAGTATTTTCCCCGATATGCCAAGATTGTGGGTTCGATCCCTAGTCTGGGCACATATAAGAATCAACCTCTCTCTCTCTCTTTCTAAACTAAACTTAAAAAAAAAAAAAATCCTAGCCGGTTTGGCTAAGTGGATAGAGCATTGGCCTGAGGACTGAAGAGTCTCAGGTTTGATTCTGGTCAAGGGCATGTACCTCCGCTGCTGGCTCAATCCCCAGCCCTGGTTGGGGTGCTTGTGGGAGGCAGCCAATCAATGTGTCTCTTTCACATCGATGTTTCCTTCTCTCTGCCTCTCCCCCTCCCTTCCACTCTCTCTAAAAATTAATGGGAAAATATTCTCAGGTGAGGATTAACAAAAATAATAAATTAGTAATTAAAATAAAATTTATCATAAAAATGTTAAGATGAAGACATATTCAGAGGAAGACACTTACCTAACCAGGCTCAGGGTAAAGGGCAGCTGAGGAAAAGCGGGAGGGGCCTAAAGGAATGTTGGGTGATGGGAACCAATTCTGAAAGGATGAGAGATGCTCGCATGGGGATGAGGATAAAAGTGTTCCCGACAGAGGTCTCTGCAAGAACTAACAGCATCATAGAAACATTGAAGGGACTCTAGATCCGTGTGGTAGGAAGGAAAGTTTGGTTGGGTGTGAGAATGTGAACCAGTGAAGATGAGGATGTAGGCGGGGTCTGCATTATGAAGAGTTTTCAACACTATGATAAGAATATTCAACTACACCTAAAGGCAGCTCCATAGTCAACCTTCCAAAGCTTCTCTGGTTCACTTA